AGGCATGTCCATTCCCACTTACTCAGAGACATGGACACACATGCACATACACACACACAGACATGTGTACACAGGCACACACACAGACATGTGCACACACACAGACACACAGACAGGTGCACACAGATACAGGCACACACATACACAGAGACATGTATACACACACAAACTCACACACACACACAAAGATACATGCATACCCAGGCAGACACAGAGACAGACATGTGCATGTGAACACGCACACAGACAGGCATGTGAACACACATACACACACACACAGACATGCGCACAAGCACAAGTGGAGTTACCAGACAGAGGGAGATGAGCAGCAAGGGGACTAAAAAGGAAGATGAGGAATTCTATAATAAGAAATTTTAAGCCCGGAAAGGATACTATTTACTATCCTTACTATTTACTATTTACTATCCTTATATACTCTGATAGCGTTCCTATCACTGCGGCATGGGCGTGTGCCTGTTCACACTTTCCTGAATCTTGCATTACAACCACTCCCTTGCATTTGTTAAACATACAATGACCAATGATACAGCCCTAAGAAAGCGGGAACAAGTTTTTGTTGTGCCTAACTGGGTTTATGTGGCAATGAGCCAAACAGCTTAAGATCCATCATCAACTACCTCACACTCAAATCCTCATGTCCCTGTCCCTGTAGCAAAACCCCTCTCTTGGCATGGCTTTCTCACAAAAGTTGAGAATAGCCTGAAAAACCCAATTTTTAAAATTTCAGTATACACAAATAGCCATAAAGAACCAATGCTTCTGAATAAAGCATGACAGCATATGTGATTTTATTTTCCTCCAGATTTTACTAAATTCTTCCCCACAGTAAGCATTTTCCATTGGGCAGGAAAAAAAAATAGTCACTGACTGATGTTGTCCGAGCATCACAAACTAAGAGAAAAGTCATCCAGGCCCAGGCCAGCTCTCCCATATCCATTGCCTCTGTCACGGTAGGTCTGCCCTGAGTCAGGACAAGATGAACGTCAACTCCAAAGCTTTCCTGAAGCAAAGTGGGGGGGGGGTGTCATTAAAAATCTAATTTGCCAAAGAATTTCTAAAGCTTCCCTGACAGGAGAGAGATGCCTTCTGGTTCTTCTCTTGAAAGACACAAAGTACCTCTTCCTGTTATCCAGTGTCAGTTGTTCAGTCCTGCCCTCAAGGAGGATGTCTGTGACAGTACTGGAGTGTGCACTGTGACTGGAAGCTGGTCATTCACCAGTGATCATTAGCATAGCATCCATTAGCTGGTGGCAACTAGCAAACACTGCAGGGTTTAAATTAATGGCAATCCCACCAGGAAATGAAACCATTTAGTATTCTGAAGAACCAATCTTATATATCTCATGTCTATAGAACTGCTTTGTAATCTTGCTTAAGAAATAATGATCAAGATCCACTTTCATTTGTTTATTTCTTTATTTATTTTTTGCTAGCCCTCTAGCTTTGTAAAATATTGCTCTCAAAGCTGTTTCAATAAGATGCATTGTAATTATCTGCTCCATCTGTTTGTCCTCGGAAGTTTTATAAAACGCAACCTCAGATGAAGCAGAGTTAACAAGATGATGTATGCTTAGTGGATATGCTTGCTTATTCTTTTCTGTTGTTGTTTTTCTTTAAATGTTGCAGTTAAAAGGTACCAAGGACTTGGTGGAGACAAACGGCCACAGCCACGAGGATGCAAATGTAGGTACTATGACCTGGTGTTTGCACATCTTGTTGGATGTTGGTTGAATCTCAGGGGCATGGCACTTTGTAACATAAAGGAAGTCAGAAGCCCTGGTCTCATTGGCTTGAGATTATTCAATAGATTTTTAATATAAGCTTTGGTCATGTTATCATATTATATATCATATGATAGATGTTCACCATTATTATTGCCTTTGTTTACCAAAAAATTCAGCTTAAACATCCATCAAAAATTCTAATTGTAGTCAATTCCCTCAAGACCTTTATTTTTCCAAAACAACATGTGTTGGGAGGCAAATGGGGCAGGAGTCACATGCTATGTCGTGTCTTGCGTTCGTATCTATTACATTTGCTTGTCGATGAGGATGACAAATGATTGCCATGCTAGAGGGGTCTCTGATACCTCTTCATGCCCAGCACAGCCATTAAGAGTGCTCCGGCCTTTGGTTTCTGCCCAGCCAGTAAGTAGTATTGCAGGTCCGCTTTCCTTGTGTAAGGAATAATGGTGCCCAATCCTGGTTAGCACCATGGTTTCTTGTCTTACTGTTCCTTAGATACCCAAATTCCAGAAAGTAGCGCCTTGGAAGTTTGGTGCACTGGGATGGAGTAACACACCTTGTGGAGAACTGTCCCTCTGTGTGCCTTGGTGGCTTTGTTCTTGTCTTTCCAAACTCTTCCCGATATCTATTTTGTGTTTGATTAGCTTCCTCACAGGAAATGCCTAGTAAGCAGTCCTTTTCACAAAACACAGAATCAGACATGGTAATGAATGCTTGATTAAGGCAGCACTAGAAGAAATTATATATTTCATGTTCACTCTTGTTTTAATTATATGCAGCACAAAGCCTTAGAATCATAGCGCCCAAGTCTCCCTCATTGAGATGCCCACCCGACGGCTTTTAAATATAGGGTAGTTAATGGAAGACTGTACTGGTGTGCTTGCCTGAGTTCTAGGGGGGCATGGGAAGGGATTCCAGAAGGACAGAAGAGCTGCTGTCTGCTCTCAGGCTGAGGAAGCAGGAGCACAGGCTGTAACATGACTGGAAGAGTGAGGCAGCTGGTGGGAGACATAGTTCAAACCCCAGACTTCCTCCAAGCTCAACAGGTTACGTGATCTTTCTGATCTCCACTGCAAAGCATGGCTAGGCCCTGCTTAAAAACCCATCGTGGGGCAGGAGAGATGTCCAGTGGGTAAGACTGCTCCCTGCACAAGCGTGAGGACCTGAGTTCAGGTTACCAGCACCCAAATGAAAACAAAACCAAAATCTAGGCATGGCCATGTGTGCCCATGACCCCAACATTGGAGAATGAAGACAAGAAAGCCTGGATTGGGGGGCGGGGGGAGGGAAAACCGGCCAGACAGCCTAACCAAAAATCAGTCTTCAGATTTAGTGAGAGCAGGTGAAAAGCGTCACACTAGAGAGAGGAAGGTACTTTTTCAGCCCCGTGCACATGAATGCAGAGCACATATGTAGATCCACGTTGCATATAACACCCACTCCACCCCACACAGCTTGCCACACTCTAGACAGCCTTAACATGTAGATGTTGAGATTTGGGGGTTTTGTTTGCTTGCTTTTTATGCTGGCTAATGAGAGCAGGCTGTCTGGATGTGTGAGGTTCGGCTGGCTTTGATGAGTGGATTGGATAAATTGTTGGTGAGCAAAGCTACCACACGGCCCTGTCCCCACTGGCAGAATCAGGACGTATGTACCATTCGTCTCCCATTCCCAAAGTTCATCACCCACATTTTGAACCCCATTACCCCTCTTTAGAATCCTGTCTTGCAGGATTCCATATTCTCAACCCAAACTTCCACACTCTTTGAGCCAGTGATCCTGCGCCTTCTAAGGAAGCTGCAGTCTGGTTTAAGAAGCCAGACAAAGTGCAGCGGGCCTCAGTTTCCTGGTCTGGAATCCCTTCCCTTGGGATTCCTCTGAGAAAGGAATAAAATCATGGATGTGGGGATGCCTTGAAATCCTGAGATCCTGAGTAAGGAAGTCACACACTCAGGGACTGACTGGATTGAACTGGATGATGCACATAAAAACAGGCCTATCAAGACATTCAGCCCTGAGGCCGCCTTGAGAAAGTTCACTTACTATTCACTGAACATTATAAACAGGGCAGGTTTGAGGTCTTAGGTTCTTTCGGAGGCAAGATTTGAGACTTCACAGTTACGTGTGTAGGCCTCATGAGGTAGACTTTGCAATCAGCTCAGAAGTGACCATTGAGCATGGAGTTTCAGCCAAGCCTGAGAGAGAGCCTCAGCTCCTATCCAGAGTGAGTGATCTGAGAAGCCAGATAGCATTCTCTGAGGAGCCAGATAGCACGTGCCAGTCACCATCCTGACTTCTCCACGCCTGGCAGACTGGGCCCTTTCCATATCTTCCAGGGCTTTGCCAGCTAGTGAGCTATCTGCTTCTCCTTCTCTTTTCCTGTCTGCAATTTTGCCTCCTCTGCGTGGCTCCCCTGAATGTCCATCCATTCCAGCTGTGTAAAAACAAAGAGGCTGACAATTGTTTGGTCCATGCATTAGAGGGTGAAGCTGACCAGCTCATAGCAATATCTCTTCTGTCTGAAAGAAGTCTCCTACTCACCTGCTCATTAGCCCTATGTACTTGAAACAGACCAGGCTTTCAAACCACCACGAAAGAATATATTTCCGATATGATCACCCAGAGCCATGTGCCTGGGGCAGGTTGTTTGACCTTGGTGAACTTCACCTTTCTCATTTTCACTTACAGTAAGGGAACCACCAAATACATCAGTGGTTCTCAACCTTCCTAATGCTGTGAGCCTTTAATACAGCTACTCCTGTTATGGTGACTCCTGACCATACAATTACGTAAATTGCTGCTTTACAACTGTAATTTTGCCACTGATGTGAATCGTATTGTAAATATTTGATATGCAGGGTATCTGGTATTCGATCCCTGTGAACAGGTGGCTTGACCCCTCAAGGAGTCGTGATGGCCCACAGGTTGAGAACCACTGGAGTATACGAACACATGTACTGACCTGGCACACATACTCAGCAGATGTGAGTCCCTTCTCGCCTGTCCTGATGGTGTGAGACATGGAAGGCAGGACTTCGGCAGAGTCGAGCTTCGTGCAGAGTTTGAGGTGGCAAGCTGTGAACCAGAGGTGGTTCGTTAGGATGTATAGATTGTTTTCACTGTAATCATTTATATCCGGGGCCAGGGCTTTACACATTATCATTCATTAACAGTGGTTCTACGGTGAACTGACACAGGCTTTAATCGGTATTCTTGTGAGAAGTGACAGCTACTTTTGTAAAAAGACAGTATATTTGGCCAGAGAGATAATATAGCAGTTCGAAGGGCTGGCTGCTCTTGCAGAAGACCTGGGTTCTGTCTCCAGCACTTACATGGTGGTTCACAGCTGTTTGTAACTCCAGTTCCAGGGCATCTGATGTCCTCTTCTGACATCCACAGGCATCAAGCATATCTAAGGTGCAGGTACATGCAGTTAGACATTTATACATATAATAAAGCACATATGCTACATGTCTGTGTTGGGTGTTTACCTTCCTACATTTGGCTTATCACACTGTGATTAACTCGCACTTGAACCTGGCTTGCATCTCCTGTTTGCTGTGTTTGTTGGAAGCTGTGTCATTACTCGTGATGGGCACTTTAGACCATGGCTCTGTTTGTGCTTGAGAGCTCAGTGTGAGAGCTGCACTCCGGTGAGCCACCAGATCCCCTCAAAGGCTCCTCAAGCCTTGCTTTTCACTTAGCATCACCACCGAACTTATGAGAAGCATGTGACTTTTACACTGTAATTGCATTTTATGGAGCACCAACTGAATCTGGGTGACACCTGGCCTGGCATTTTTGATGTCCCAAAGTGGATGTTCCTTTAAAAAGACACACCTGTACCCATATCAGCAGCTTTAGTAACGTATTCCCAAGATAATTTAAAACCACTTTAGCCCCATACAGATCAGTCTCAAAGGCCTTGCTTGCTGTCTGAGAGGACTTAATAGTTCTAGCAGACTCACTGATATTCTATAGTATGAATTCAGATCTGGATATGTTGATGCCAGATGGGCAGGCCAGCTTTTCATATGCACCCAATTATGGCCTACACTGGCCATAATTCTTGTGTCTCTGGGTATCTCATTTATTCCAGACCCCATTTTCTCTCCTACGAAGCAAAGCTAAGAATTTTCCTTTGATTTCCACTCTCAGGCTCTTTCATATCCTTTGGCCTGCTGGGTGTCTGGCCTGCCTGGTCCCTGGCAATTATGTGTAACAGATAGCAAAATCTTAAAATTTAAACAAAAGCATCTGTTCTCATCCTGTATCTTCTTCATGATCCATCCACCACTGCATCCCTGCCCATGCATGTCTGTGTTTGGATCATGAGTGGGAGAAACACAAGGCCAGTTAGGAGATATGACACACAGTGGCAGCAGAACCCCGCAGGGCACAGAGCGACTTGGTCTGTGTGCTTCTCATGCACACATTCCCTCAGATCCTTGTTTCTGTTCCAGGAAAGCCGCCACCCACATCCCTCTATGTACACAGTTCAGTTCCCTCCAGTGTGGAGGTTAAAGAAATCATTGGCAATCTATACGGGGTTTAATGGGTGGTGCTGAAGGTTACTGCTGTCAAGCACAACACCATTCCCACCCAACTATAAAACAAAACACAAAAGGAAAAGGACTGCTTGGTTTCTCACACTGTCTCCTTAAGGAAGTAAATCCTTGGAGCTGTCTTTAAACCTGTCAGAGCACAGATGTGAGGGGTGTGTGGAAGAGATACAGCACCGGGAACATTCCTCAGGGTTAGCACACAGTGGGAGAACGCCACCATTAGCCATGTGTTCTAATGGTAGGTATGAGGAAGACCCTGTAAGTACCAGTCCATTGCCTAGTGTCCCAGTGATTCAGGTAAAATCCTGATAAGTACATGTATACTGTATTGTACCTTAAACAATGAAGAATAGACACCTCCCTTGGAAGATGA